TGGTGGGGTAATACCACTTCCGGTCCAAACTGGAACACAACCGAAGGTCCCTGGTGGGGTAATACCACTTCCGGTCCAAACTGGAACACAACCGAAGGTCCGTGGTGGGGTAATACCACTTCCGGTCCAAATTGGAATACAACTGAAGGTCCATGGTGGGGAAATACCACTTCCGGTCCAAACTGGAACACAACCGAAGGTCCGTGGTGGGGAAATACCACTTCCGGTCCGAACTGGAATACAACCGAAGGTCCCTGGTGGGGTAATACCACTTCCGGTCCGAACTGGAATACAACCGAAGGTCCATGGTGGGGTAATACCACTTCCGGTCCAAACTGGAACACAACCGAAGGTCCGTGGTGGGGAAATACTACATCCGGTCCAAACTGGAACTGTTGGCTTCCAGGGACCACCCCATTATGGTGAAGGCCAGGCTTGACCTTATGTTGGCTTCCAGGTACCACCCCATTATGGTGAAGGCCAGGTTTGACCTTGTGTTGGCTTCCAGGGACCACCCCATTATGGTGAAGGCCAGGCTTGACCTTGTGTTGGCTTCCAGGGACCACCCCTTTATGATGTAGGCCAGGTTTGAGGAATACAACGCAATGGCCCAATACCAATACGACCCCTAACTGGACCTTGTCCACCCCTGTACCCAACTGGAACACAACACAAGGGCCATGGGGGAACAATGGAACTACTCTTGGGCCAAACTGGAACACCACCGTCCTTGAGCCACAGTGGAACTCAACCACTGGAAGACCTCAGAACCCAACAACCACCGAAGGACCGCAGTGGAATGCAACCACAACCGAGGAGCCTGCCACCACACAAGGAAATTGGTGGGATAAGTTCATGAAAGAGGTTGGATCCCTGTTCTAGGCAGCCCCCACGAGGCAAAGGCACGTCCCAAAGTCTTGTTTGGTGACGGCAAATAAGTAATTGTTGTAGCAAATAAATCAAAGCAAAAAATATAAATACGAAGACTTGTGCCAGCATGCAGAAGTATTTTTGCCCAATCCAAGAGCAGCTGCAGATCCAATTGGAAAAGAGTAAAGAAATCGATGGAAGTGGGCCACAAATTAGTCGGGGAACGATGGGATTCACCACAGCCGCCCACTACTGGGCCTGATTAAGATTTATTAGCCAGCTGCGGACCACGTGTCGCAGACGGCTCAAAGAATAATGATGGATTTCAGTGGATGAAGTGGAGACGACGTCAGCAAAAATATCGGTCAGCAGAAAAGGCAGGCCTGTCAATACGGGGGGGAGAGTTCTTGCTGATGGCAGCATGCATAACGAGCCAGCGGATAAGCTCCATAATTAGCTAAAATCTCTCTCTCTCTCTCTCTCTGGCTGTGGGGCAGTAATGAGGTAAAGGGAGAGCGCACTCCCACAATCATTCAAGTCAGTAAAATAAACGTAATTGGCAAGTCAAACATCACACGAGAAGACTCCAAATGGAGCTAAAGGAAAAGGTTGAATGGCAAGGATAAGGAACAGTCTGACATTTGCATAACCCAGGTCGCAAGTCCATGCTGGTGCCATGCTGCAATGGAGCCATCCGTGGGTCTGCAGTGGTTGAGCACACAATGGGATTCCGACCTAAACAATGTAGGTATGCGGAAAACTTTTAGCCTCCGTGTGCCAGTAGATAAATCAACCTGGATCATCACCCTTTCAGCATTCGTTGTCAGCATACACTCTCTCATGTGTGCGTGTGTGTGTGAAGAGTAAATCCCCGCCCGTGTCCGAATGGGTGTGGCAAACACGCCAACACACCCACGCACACCCACTTGCAGCACTGCAGCTATAAATTGCAGCAGGTCCTGCCTGCTTCCATCTCCATATACGTGTGAGTTTGGGTCAATATTTTTTCATGTTAATTCAACTTTCATGGATGCGGCTTCTGGTCCTGCCACTGACAGGATAATGGAGGTGGGCCACGGACAGGGAATAAGTGCGATTGCTGGAATGTAAATCAAGGCAGGCGCAGACGAAATTCTACGGAATCCGCAGCCGCAGCATTTGAAGTTGCCTTAACTTTTGGCCCCGACCCAACCCGACCCACGGCAAAAGTTTTTAATGAAAATGCTCCGAAATGAAGTGATCAATTAACATTAATTGCGCAATGGCCAAAAAGGAAACTTCATAAAAATGTTCGCAAGGGTTAGCCGAGGTGATTAGATTAAAGACAAAGGATTGACCCTTTGGAAATCAAAAGTTTTTGGCAGCATAAAACAGCACAACACTAAACCTAATGATGAGCATTACTGCAAAGGGGCAGTGTTGTCTGCTAAATTGCCAATTAAGATTTTTAACGACAGTGCGCCAGCAGAGACTCCTGTCGGTGGGGTGGGGCATGCAAAGACGTGGAGCGGCTTGCCCCAAGAAAATGTAGATGCCAAGCTTGAAATTAGTAAGTCATTAAAGCGAGGCAGGGTCCGCCCTGACGCTTGAAAAGTACGGCAGCGGGAAACGCCCCAATGGCGGGTGGAAAAGTGATGGAAAAAGGTGCTGGCAGGTACGGACCGGATGCGGCAGGGGCGTGGCATGGGCCCTGAGAGACACAACAGCTGACAGGGCTGACGTTTGGGTAACTAATAGGCCTTATTTGCATGTTAATTGCTCTTGACTAAGTCAACACCAACGTCAAGAGCGGGGTAGTGGCAGCAACTGTGGCAACTGTGGCAACTGTGGCACCCGTGGCAGTCTGCGACGATAAACGGTGGCATAAAAGTATTATAATAACAGTAGCACAATTTTCAAACAACAAGAAAACAGCATCAAAACAGACAAGTATAATGGGAAAAGGAAAGCAAAAGGCAGTAAAACGTGGAAGGAACAAGGAACATTAATTCATCAGAGGCAAGCGCAGAGGAGTGGAAGTACTCGCTGAATGAATCTATTTGAGGAGGAGTCCAAGAGCAGTAAGAAATGAGTGCAGTTTTCATAGATAATCATTGACTAAACAACAGAAATGTATAATCAAAACAGAATTTCTGATAATCAGATGGATCAATTGGCAGATTAGATTGGCATCTGTAGATGAATCCATCACACACAGACAGCACAGAACAAGTGATTCCAAAAATTGAAATTCAGGACTAATGTGGTTCTCTCTTTGCCATTTAAGCACAGGATATAAATCGCTTACGGTCCGATTGCTCTTATGTAGAAATAATTGTTTATTTGTGCGTTTAAGGCAATGGTTTTTTTTCCCCCACACGCACACAGAATAATATAAAACGTTGTGCGAGAAATATTTCACAGTCACCGAAAGACCATGCCACGCCACGCCCGCAAAATATGTTGCCTAATGACAAACATGAGGCGTCACGAGCGGCGCTTGGACAAACGAGAATGTATGAATATTTCCATACTGTCCTGCTGTGCCGTTGTTTATTTATTTTAATTTAATTTTTGTTTAACTAAATTGCATATGCATCTGCTCAGTGTATGCCGGAGCGTAGATGTTTTGGGAACTAACAATTTAACAATTTAGAATGGAATGAAAACTAAAGCTTTTGCATGCAGATATTATGCAAAATAAGAAGTATATCCAAATCAAATTGCAAAGCCCCAAATTTATTCTTTTAAGCAACGAATTCGACAATACCCTGTGAAAACTATTTCAGTATTTCTATGCCCAAAATCATTGATTAATGCCGAGGAACTTTAGGAACCACAAATACCCCGCAACCAATGAGTAAAATAGTTCTAGCTTAATTAAAAATGAAAATTAAAATGTGTTCTGGGAAATCCCACACAACTATACAAAAAATACGCTCTGGTAGAGTGTTGCCTGAATATGTCAGAATTTAATTAGATAATTTCATTATAGAAAGAGCTAAATCCATTGCCATAAAAGTGGTGGATTCGTTTCGACTGCGTCTTGCGGCACGTGCTCCCAGGAACTACAAATTATTCCAGCTGGAAGTGGTTAGCGTTTTGTTAAATCGATCAGAGTTAATTGGAGTCAGTCCCAGCTCCCATTTGCATGTCATACATATTTAATAAACAAACGAAAAAACATTCGCGTTTTGCAGTCAACAGTCAGCAGTCAGCACAAGCAAAAGTGCAGTCAGATTAGCATACAAGCCACATGCCACACGCAACATGCAACATGCAACATGCCATAATCAAAAAATTAGCCTTCGTGCTGCCCTGCCATTTGCGCATTATGGAAATTCAACTGTGGCAACACAGAGACAATGCAGAGTTGGGGGTTTGGTTTGATCCACCGAAAGGCCCCGAATTCGAGGCGCATAATTTGAACTTCAATTTGTGGCACACGCAACGCTCATAAGAGTATGCAAGGAGGTAACCCTGTTTCGACCTTAGCACATCATATAAATAAATCATTAATTCTCAATAAAAGGAAACAACCCTTTGCCACGTGCCACAGCCCGGATTGTCTGTGCCTCCAGTAAAGTACGAAACGGGAAAGAATTGAGATCGCATGCAATAAAAAGTGTAATTTGTATAGTAAATATGTAAGCAAGGTGTGGAAGCGCCATTAAACGGAGTCCAGAGATGCCACACGCAGAGAGAGTGTGTGTGTGTGTGTGTGTGTGGAGTGTGAAAGGACTTACATACTTAGCAGGAAGCTCAAGCTGCTGCTAACTATGAAATAGTCCTCGAGGCAAGTCTATCTTTATCTCCTGGCCTGGCCTGGCCCGGCCGTGCCCATAAATTTCACAAGTGCGCCCATTAACGCGGTAGTCTAGCTCCGAGTCCTTAAAGCATAAAAGCCGCTGCCATAAATTTGCCTGCCTAATACAATGTCGCCTCGGCCAGCAGCATAATGGCCTAAGTAAGCGGTTAACACTTACCGACAGGCAGGGCCCTTGACTATGGCCATGGCTTTGCTGGGGTCCCAGCCGCCACAGCGAAATACTCCATTAAATTGTGCAATTGCAAAGCGAGAAAATAATGCGAAAAGTAAATCGAATCGAATCTCTGTCTGTAGGTACATATATCTGCATATATCCAAGTTGCGTAATTGAACTTTACAGTTGTTGAATTTACTGCATTTTTATGGGTTGGGGATTGCTGATTGAAATAAATTGAAACTTAATGTTGAAAAAAGGATTACCTCGATTTAATGGCGCTTGATTGAATTACGTACACGATCGCAGCCACATTTATCATCGAATACGGGGCCATAATTAGAGGCAACTCCACACCGAAGAAATATTACATGCAACCAGTTGGAAATCAGCACACCTAAACAATTTTGGTAGCCACTGAATGGCTGCACAAGGGACAGGGCTTTTTCGGCCATGTAAACCACACTGCACATAAACTGGTTGGTTATTTCTGGCTTCTATTTTTGTTTGTTTTGTTTTTGTTGTTCAGGGCAATCGGTTTTGGGCAATGTTTTGTTTGGGAGGGGGGCCTGAAGTGGCGTGTGCATGCAGTTGAATGCATTTTGTTTTTCGTTCGAAAATGGAGTCATTGCCAGGCAACACACACAGCGGCAGCCATAATGGTCAAATAATGCAACTAATGTGATGCAAGCGCTGTCATATTGTCAGACAGGAAGGTTATTTATGTCATTTTTAGTGTTATCACAGCCATGGTGGTCCAATAAAGTGATTTTCGTTACACAATTATCGTTTACTGTTCATGTATGTAATTGAAACCTGTAGCTGAGTGCAGCTTTGATGTTCATTTATTTGGAGTCTTTACATGCTCAAGTCTAGCTGTTACTTTGAGAGAGAAGAACTCAATGTGGCAGCTGGAAGTGCACATTCCAGGCCATGTTCGTCCTTCGTTTTGTGCCTTGTTTTAATTAAAAATGTTCTCTCTTGCCTTTTGTCGTCGAGGCCGTCGAGGCCGTCGAGACATACGAAGGCTGAGAAGTGGCATGCGACTTCCGACTGGGATTAAAATCAATGTCCTGCTACCACCCACCCTCTGTCTGTCAATGGCAAACTCGCTCAGTGACTGAAGGCTGTGTGGCTGCCGACCGAGG